GTGGAGCAGGCGAATGCGTCGCTGCATGCGACGGTGGAGCGCTTGGCGCCATTAAAAAAAGAGGTTGTTGCACTCCGTGCTCAAAAGCAGTTGCTGGTTCTGCTTTTGGGTGGCCAAGGGCCCGTGGGGTCCGCTCCGGCGCCAACGCTTCCGCGCTCACTTACGCCGGATCCCGGTACGGCTTGAGTAAGCCCACGTAAAACACCAGGTGGGTGCGCATCTGTTTTATGAGGTTCAGCGTATACCCTAGGCCCCACTTGGCCACAACCTTAAACAGTCCGATGAACCGTGGACGAAGCTTTGCCCTGAAGATAACACGTTTAGAATTTAATAAAACCAGGTCTCCGACCTTAAGGAAGAGGAGGCAAAGCTTTCCACTTTGCCTCTTCTTTTTTCATCTGCATATTCTTTCTGCAGGTCTTGGTTTTTCGCCATCGCATCGCGAACGTGTTGTATGACACTCAGTCTGGTAGACAAGAAGTCATCGACCTCTTTACGGATGGTGGGGGGGCTGACATCAGCTAGTCGTTCGGCTTTTCCTCCCCCACTAAGCCCTGAATCATGGGATGGCGGCGTCAGCGGGACTCGAGGGTAAATCAACCCGTTCACGTAGAACGGCGTGTAGCCGGTAGACGAATGCACTGCACTGTTCAGCGCAAACTCTACGAGTGACACCATGGCGCTCCAGCGCCTCGGCGTATCAGCGCGGACACTGCGAAGAAAGTCTTCGATGACGCATTTCACTCTTTCGGTTTGACCATCGGTCTGCGGATGGTCCGCTGTCGACATATCCAACTTGGTGCCTAGCACCTTGAAGATAGTCGACCGAAATTTTCCCGTGAAACGGGGGTCTCTATCAAAGATAATCGACTCTGGAAGTCCGTGTTGACGGAAAAACGATTCACGAACAGCGTTGCTGTACCGACTCCGTCGATGGTGTTGGGAAGCTCCGCCAAATGAGCCATCTTGCTCAACCGGTCGACGAATTACCACGACACTCGCGTTGCCTGCCGAATATTTCGGCAGGCCAAACACAAAGTCCAAACTCATGGGCTGTCAGCACCCAGTGGGTACCGGTAAGCTGGCAATCGCAAGCTGACTTGACTCCTACGCGTGCAGAAGAGCAAGCGGCATTCATGAAGAGCCAGCTAAATATCAATGTGAGACCTCGTCGTGAGTTTTGCAGCGGGAGGTCGTAACACACTAACCCCAAAATCATGGCCTCTGATTGCGTACTTCGTGGATAGACGGTGCGAGCACTCAAGATACCTGTTGCTTCAACACTCATCATGGTGCATATTGTTCAGATGTATTGTCCATAAAATTATCATTTCCGCAGGCGATCTCTTTCCTTAAATACCGTTAGCGCAATGCGTTAATACACTGTCTGGAGTATGGCCAAATGCATGAACATGTCGACCTTACTTTTCCATGAATGTATTATCTTTTTTATTGTTGAAAGGATTCGGCTCTTACCATCAGAAGTCTCAATATAAGAGGTGATCTTGCACACGCCGGACTGGGGCTTTGTAGTATGATAGTTACATGCACGTTTACATAGCAGGTAAGTGCCTCAAGGCTGGCGATTATCTCTGCTGGCCTATGAGCAGTCGATCGATCTTGTAACGGGGGTTATACGTGCTTTGGTGAGAAAGGACGGGTCGCACAAGATTGTGCGATCGTACATAGGTTTGTATTACACAGTTATTGCAATCACTCAGTTGTGTGGCTACACCGTAACAAGAAGCCATGACGTGGCAGGATCGCCAGTTGATATAAATATTACTATATCAATCAGGAAAACCTAGGTTTTTGGATACTGGCGGCTCTGCCGCAGCTAAAACAGTGAGATACATTTTCTTTTTTGAATATTTGCCTTGGTAAGGCTTTAGTTTCGGATTGCGATTCGCTTGACTAATACTGGTTCTTGGAAAGAACGTAAGGTCGGTGACCTCAGCATAGCTTCCTCTAAGCAAAGATCTACGGCATCCCTGCTGCAGCACTATTCTATCGAGTCCTCATGGAATAAAGCTGTCGCGGTGTCTGAGGGTAGACAAATAACAATACTCTTCCATCCTTACCCTGGATTAGGTTACCAAGACTCGGACATCGATTTGACAACCAAGAGTTACCAGATAAAACCGGTGTACCGTGCTTGCGTTAACTCAAGCACAGAGATCGAGCTTATCGGGAACCGGTCCGAGGGACTTGTAAGTACCAAGCGCTTAGTTTACTTATATTCCAGACATTGTATATCCATACATGAATCTACCTTCAGATTGTAGATTTAAGTATGGACAAGTAATTTCCAAAATTATTTATAATGTATCTAGTTCAAGGCGTGGGGCTCGTTTTCCCTCAGACTCCTCTTGAACAGAGTACCGTACCCCTCACTGGTTCCAAGTATTGACCATGAAACTTTATCATTGTATTTTATTCGGTGCGTCTCAGCTCGCTCTAAGTCCAAGAGACAATAGTGAGATGTATACATGCACCAGAATAGGTTACGTGCACCACGGTCGGGTATGTACACCGCTACAGACCACATACGAGTTTATGAAATGGACGAATTTGACCAAGCTTTTTTTTGCTTGTGTATCAGTGAGGCAAACAGACTCTTCAAACGCATATATGACAGCCCAAAGGGGGACATTTGAAAATTGACTTACGCATCTCCAACGACTTGAATGCTGCTAACATGGATCCTCAAGGCAAAAAGTCACTTTGATTTGCTAAGACTTTGGTTTGTAAAGCAATCTCTTCTATCTGAATTGAGTTTAATCAGTACATTACTCATTGGTGTCTATTCTGCAAGACTCGAGCGAGAGACATAATTACTACTGGCGTTTACATGGTGGCCTTGCTAGCTACATCGGCAAGACCTGGTTGAATGAAAGCTTTCTTCATGACTTTGAAGGTGAGATACTTAGGAGAAATATGGAGGTTTCTGGCAATGTAGGAATATCCGCGAACTTCATGAGTAATATAAGCTGTTCAATACGAACGCGGTGAGAATGTCAATCGCAATCTTAAATAAGAAAAATTTAAAGGTGCTGTTATAGAGGGCACTACGGTCGACCATGGGAGAATTTTCTTAGAAGTCAGGTAGTTTGCTACATGCTATCCAGACACAGAGTCAGTACTAGAAATATCGTGAAGTTCTCGGATTGTATAGCTGGAGCGACGCGAGCGTTGTGACGAGATAATAATAGCAGGAAATTAGTCGTGAGATGAGAGATTTTGATGCAGGTATCGCTGTACTATGAAGTTGTAGGAAACAGGCTCGATTGCCACTTTCCAGCAAGTGCGAAGCATGTATGATAAAAATATGCGATTATGTTAGTCAGGGAGAGAGTAAGTATGGAGCCGCTGTTGGTGCCAACCGTGCCCAAGACGATTAGGGTGCAAGAACGCGAATATAACAATGTTGATGAGGCTGTAGTCATAGACAAGCGATGGACGTGCGAGATGCACCAGGAAGAACAACAATGCGCGAGCGAGAAAGTCGGCCTTGAAGACAAGGATCGGGAGGATCTATTTTGTGTTCTTCCGATCTTTGGAAGGACAACGATCGGAAGAACACAAATTTTAAGAATACGGACAAGGAATATTTTTCTTAAGGTTGGAGCTGCTGAAGTGCGCCCGACGAGGAGGTGTGTTGCAGTAATAGTTCAACCCAGCCGACATGAGCTTAAGTCAGCCAGTCGGTTGGATTCGTACAAGTATGAAACTGCGCCAACGTTCGACTGATATCTACGCAAGAGCCAGGAGCCAAGCGGGTTAGCGTTACACGGTAAAGTTGCTCGGCTGTTGCGCCAATACTTTCCTATTTAAGCAACATCAGTGATTCAATAGTGGAGCTTATAGTTAATATTAACTTATCATCCTTACAGCGCAGTACGCCCTGGTAAACTAGTCCCACGGTGCTGTTTGTTTTTCAGAGGAATCTCATCAGCCTGTTTGTCAGTCAATATATTTTGTATAGTGTTTGCTTAACTGTACTCGTGATATGTCTTATATTCTATATCTCGGTGCTGTCACGTACCCATTAGCGCATCATGAAGTCAATAAGTGTAACATGAGCGTTTTCTGTGTAGACTGACTCAACTTACAAGTATTGGTGCTCCTAATTAGTATATTGTACCTCTGGTTGGTCAGCATACCGTAATATCAAATCGAGTTGCGAGCGTAGTAGAAGGTTAGATGGCATCGAATCGTATTTACTTTCAGCCCCTGAAGTGATAACTTTTGATCATTAACACCGCGAAATGAAAATTTCACTTTCTACACTGCACATTGATAGTGTTTTAGAATCGATCAGATCATGAAGAGTTCTGAGATTAATCAAATGGAAAGCAGCACCATATCCGCGTTCGACAAAGCGCAAAGCGGCAAAGTGGACTCGCATTGTCGATCGGCTCGATCGAACACATTTTGTCGTGTGAGCGTGGTGCAATGCGACGATCGTACCAAGTCAAAACAATTGCAAACGCGCGAAGGGGAACTTCATCAGCGGGGGGACGGTCCAGCACTCTCGTCAGCGTCAATTTGTAAATCTTACTTGAGGGCAAAAGGATTCAATCTAAAGTCGTTGTCTCCTACACACTGATGCCCAATTTGCTCGTAGCTGTTAAAATTTTTATATCCTTCGTTTTCAAAAATCGAGCGAGAAAACAAATGGTTTTAAGGCAGCAAGTCAGGAAATTCAGAAGCAAACTGTTCAATATATTGAGAGCAAATTGAGATTCAAATAGAAGACATTGCGAGTCAAACGTCGCTGTCGTAGTATCAGTCTCGCCAGTCCTGGGTCACTTTAGGTTCAGACAAGAGATAACCGCCTCTTAAAAATATTATATTTCGAAGATGGTTTTTTGCCCACCAGGTGATTCAATCATCTCATCTCTTCTCACCGTATATTATATCTCACAGGACTGATCGCGACATTTTAGCTGGTGTACAGTTCATTACACACCTTTTTGGAGGATTCCTTCTTTTAAATACGAACAACTCGTACAAGCACTTGCCCAGTAGTGAAAAGCATGGCATCTACGCCGACCACCGCCGCATCTAGCGCGGTACGAAAACCCAGCTGGCAAAACATTGAACGATATTCTGTGTACGACGCTGAAGTTTCGAGTATGATGGACGATAGGATGCTTGTACGTCCGAGTCTGCTATCGTTCCGCCCTTCACGCATGCTGCGAGTCTCGCAACAGCAGCACCACAATGCTGTGTATAAAGCGCAGCTTTTGCGTTCTTCGGGTCGCCCCACAGAACGATCTTCCGAGACGAGCGATGAAGATGGGTACGAAAGTAGTGATACGGGCAATTCCGACAATGAAAGCAGCTACTTTCCGTCTCCTGCTGCGCGTAATCGAGACAAACATGCCGTGTCAACAGTAGACGAGGATGAAGAGATGGGCAATTACATGAATAATAGCATCAGGTTGAATCGAGCCGAGTCATTGCTTGCTATCATGGCTCTTCCGGCATCAGGTACAATTCCCCTTCTTGAAAGGCTGGAAAGCGAAGACGATGATAATGAAATTGACACAATCATATGCGATCCGACAAGACTTCCGCGAACACTACTTGTAGACGAAAATGGGCTTACAATCTCTAGAGAAAGTGTCATGATGCGTGCAGCTACTGTACCTCGTGGTGGAGTGATCAAGTCAGGAGTGCTCTTCAAACAGGGTTTTGGATTTCGTTCTGGAGGCTGGAAAGTGCGTTTCGCCGTGCTTACGGGCACTAAGATGACGTTGTTTCGTGAGGAACACGGCAGGAAACGCGGCGAGATTGATTTAGCAAAGTGCAATTCAAAAAGCATTGAGATTATGCCTCAGGACTCCGTATTTGACGGCTCTCAGGCTACTATGTGGAGGTTTGCTATTCGTGGGAAAAAAGGTCGAGTTTTGCTTAGTGCATATACGGAGGCAGAGATGAAGGATTGGCTTAGGTGTATTCACGTGGCATTGGCTTCCCAAGGCTTTGGTCGCTTCACAGACCTTGTGGTACCGAGTGGTACGTTTCTCGCTGAAAGAAGCGGCGGACTACTGCGGTCGTCGGGGAATTTGTAAAGGGATTAATAAGAAGCCGACCAGAATATAAAATCGCGCTTTTGTAAATTATGCTGAAATCTACAAGTGCTGCATTGTTTTCGATCGCACTGTTTTCTGTGCTGTATCACCAACATCGTAGAGTTGAGTAATGTCATTTTATGCAGATTTGCAAGGAAGACAGAAAGAGCCAAAGTCGTGCGCATAGAAACTACTATTCTACTAAGCATGCGATACAAGTACTTTTTAAACTGTGCTGAAGACATAACGCTGACAATTAGCTGGGATCTGGAGTCGCGGTTAAAGCTAGAGTAACGTTGCGGCGAGCATGCTGTCACTTCCAGAGATAAAGGTTTCATGGTTTTCTGGCTTGTCAACATCTTTACTCTAGACAGAAATGACAAGTTAAAGCCTTGGCCAGATCAAGAAATGTCGTCGCTGCTGACCTCCGCTAGGTACAGCCATGGTCAACTCACTTATGGTATTGACTCTTCGACAAATCTTAGTAAGAAGAAAGATGGGATCTCCGAACTTAATGCACAAACTCTGATGGCCGGTTATATGAACAGAGTCATCGTTAAGGCTACAGAAGGTGACAGTCATTGCAACAACATGTTTCTGATTAAGTAGATTAATTGGCGGGAAAGCAAAAAGTGTGGACAAGTTGACGCATATCAACGTACCGGGAACGAGAATCAGTGGCTCTGCTCAGGCATCATAGCATGCAATATCGACTGGTAAGAAGAGCAATGAGATATCAGAACAAGTAAATGTAAATACATTTCAAATTCAAAAGTGCAGTGATTTCATGGTCAACGGCACGTCACTCGGTCAGATTCTGGTCGCTTACGATAAAGCACGAAAACCTAAGTAGAATTTTTTGGCAAATGTTGACCATTCTTACGTTCCACCGTATTAAAATAGGATGGTACGGAACTTGGGCATTGCAGCTCCAGGAGACACTGAGCCACAGCCAGCGCTGTACCTTCCTATCAATTTTGGAAAAATCTGGTGGCGACATTGCAGCGTATGAAATTAGCTTGATACGTATGCAGCCTACGTGCAACAAAGAGGCGAACACTTTCTCCGGTGTTGCTTCGACTTAAGGCAGCAAATGCCTCATCAATGCAGAATCAAAAATTTCCACGGGTCCTTAACTTTTTCATAGTTACATGCTGCGGGGTCATTTGAAACTACATCACTTCTTGTGACCCCCCACGTATCTCTTCAAAGTCGTTGCAACTTCTTTCGCTAGAGAGGTTGTTGAGGCTTCAAGCGCATCTGCCACAATTTGCCGATCCAAAGCACTTATGAGAAGCAAAAATGTCTTTTTGTAACTTTTCTCTTTGTTCTGACACAATCGCGAAACGGAAATGAAAACAAAGTCCAATTTCCTGCTCACTAGTCTCCTACACATCTTTGCACTCGAGCAGTAGCCAGACTTTATCTTTTGTCGATTCACGTAAATTCCAACCTTCAAGTATAGACTCCTGTAGGTTTTGAATTGTGAAGCGTGCATTCACATTTTGATTTTGCACCTGCCAACTGTACAATGAATTTGCTGCTTTCGCCACCAAAACCCTCCGTCAAAATCTTCACCAGCGTTGGATAAACAGTTGATTCAGTATCAGGAATCTTAATAAGCTTGTTGGTGTACTCTATTAACGCCCTAAACTTTCCGTTGAGCAAAGCTTCTGGAAAATCAGTACCGATGTCCAAAAAATCAAAAACAACCTTGAACTTGTCTTGATTGCCCACCACTCGTTAAGCTGTCGATTCAGCAATAGCTTTGCCGCAGTCGATATAGTTCGCGACTAGCGAAATATTGATGCTGCTGATGACCCAAACTTCGTGAATAATTCAAGCAATTATGCCTCATCAGCGGCAAACATATTAAGTTCATTTATCTCCTTGTTCGAAGACGGCTAAAAAGTCGAAGTGAGCATCTCAAATTTACCACTCGTCAGTGCATCGACGACATTGTGATTAAATTTAAGCTGCGACCACATCTGAGTCAGTGGCACTTGTTGCCTTTCTTTTGCAAAAGACTGGTAAACAGACTGAAGCACCATCAGCATTTCAGCGTCTGCTGTAGCGCCTGTGCTGCCAACCACGTTTTGCATCGTCAGTGTATTGTATATTGATGGTGAGATCAAGTCGACATCACCAGCAAACCCTGTTTTTAGGACCTCGACCAATTTATCGTCAATATTATTGATCATCTTTTCGCATCGTCGTAACAATTGAATCTCTATAACGACAGTAGGTGTGTAATCCCCACAGATTTTCATGAGGTTAAATACGTCGTCAGCTGACTTGCGGTTCTCGCTCCAATACACAAGAAGTTCTTTTCTTTATGTGTACACAAATTTGCTCTGTGATGTCATCAGCGCCACGGCCATTGCCACTATTTCTCAAGTTGAACAGTTCACGAAACAAATCAATCTCGTTGGACATTTTTAGCAGTGGTCGGATCGACAGGAGCTTCTTCGCAGGATAAGCACCATTGTAGTTCCTTACAGCTAGAACCACGTCAATCATTTCATCGCTCGTTCGAGTGTTCGTATATGCAACCGAGCACTGTTCCTCAGCAGTTTAGATTTTGCAAGTACATGTTGCACGGATTTCCACCGGTTGGATAAGGGCAGCCGTGTGCAGAGAAAGCTCCGGTCGGTATAGACGTGGCTACTATACCCACGATCGGTGACAGTGACCGTGACACTATCACGTAATGAACTTGAATTAAATTTGTAATTTTTTGTTTGAAAATAAATTTGATAATTTTGTAAGACAAATTCATCGAGTATTGGGTCGCTTTTATTTTCAATTTTTTAACGTTTCGTGATAAATCGATACTCATGAGGCTATCAACCGCAGAACTTCCCTTTACAAACCTCGAGGATACGTATGAATAACATTTTGTATCTTGTGTCATCTCAAACCAAGAACAATCGATCGCACCGAATGCAAACGGCGGGAAAGCGAGCATGTTTGACTGTGAATAGGAAGGAGATGCCAAGGAATTGTTCACAATTGTTTTAAAGGGTGACATATATATTCGCTCAAAAATTTAATTAGTGCTCTGGCATAATTGCACAAAATAAGATGTTAAAATGTGTGCGAACCCCATTCAGCCCTCTTAAACAAAAGGGGGGCATACTGGTAATTGCACTTATTTTGACCTTCTTAAGACTTGCACCATACAGTTCCTTTTCCTACTTGCACTTCGAGTTCTCACGCTTACATAGCCAAACGATTCTCAAAGAATGGTGTGGATTTTGCACACGATTGACATCAAAGCGTTTCATGTTGCAACTAATTCTGCAGCCTCAATCACATCGTGATCATGACTCGGATCCGTCTGATGTTGCCCGCCGCACCATGGAAGAGCTTTTTTTCTATATGTGTATACGTGCGGGCTCTCTCCACTATTGCTTGGAGCAGCATCAGTTGGAGAAAAATCATTACCTCTACAGAGCAGCTTCTTTAACACTGAATGTTGGCATAAGTGGCATTTTTGTATCGGGTTACACGTACCTGGTATGTATGGGTGCCACAGAAGATGGTCTGACCACACAATCGTGTGGCTACACTTTAACAAGAAGCCACTACGTGGCGGGGTTGCAGGTAGTTATGCATTTTAATTTGGTTTTACTATTTAATTAAAAAAAATATAAATTTTAATATAGGCGGCTCTGCCGCAAATAAAACAAACGAAATACAGTTTCAACCTGAACGGATGAGTGTACTTAGATTAAGGTTGTGGGTACTCTTGGAGTTAGGAGTTAGCCGCTACACTCATACTGGTTCTAGTATAGAATGTATGGTAGGTGTAATTAGCTTAGCTTCCTCTAAGCAGAGAGCTACGGCAGCCTCGCTGCACTTGGTAGCACTAGTAGGCGATCTACACCTGAGTCGTTACATCTGATCTGCTGTGAGGATGGGACAATTCTCCTATTTGTTCCAGAAAGGGCAGGACGGGTTTAGAAGGCTGATGTCTCTACTTGGCCCTGAGGGCGTGTAAACCTCGCTTCATAAG